CAGCGAAGGACGGAGGGAAGTGGAGAGCGAGAGAGCAGTGCAAGGAGATGTCAGTGCAGGAGACGGTGAGGGCCCAAACGGCCAAGCGACTACGAAGATAAAGGAGAAGTTTGAACCGTACCGCTGCCGTGGTCGTCCTGTGTTACCCACGCGCTTCATTGCGTTTATTGTCGTTGGCCTTGGTTCGCGTGCGCCCTTGCGTTTTCAGATTGCGTCGTGTCGCCGAATTTCTTGGCATTTTATTTGTAAGCAAAATGCAAAAAGGACGACAACGAACGAAAACAAGAGACTCCCCGTCGCCTTTATTTTTTTTTAAAGTATCTGGCTGCGAAACGAAGCAACGCGGCTTTTCCAAAATGTGTTCCGGGGGGTCCCTCAGTCGGACGCGATTGTTCTCGGCGTGGTGGCGGCAGTGTACCCCCGCGGCCGATTGAAAAGCCCCGTGCGCTGTCTGTCGGGCAGGACGCTATTACCTCTAATCATAGAGGGGGAGGCCTCAACCCAGATGGGAGTGCAAAGTCCGATTAAATACTAAACTGGACGAACGCGTCCCCGGGAATAACGGGGTCACTTTGACCTTCGTGATTCTGCACACAAGTGGGCAGAATGCAGTGGGGGGAACAGTTCTGCAGTTTGGAACGTACATTTCAGACACTGTAAAGATGTGGGTTATATAATTGGTGCAATTACCAACTGGCTTTTTATTTGGGCGTAGTGTGTCGTCCAATTAGAGGACTGTAATGGAGTTGAAAATAATTGGCCCATCCATTTTTTATTAAATAAAATACTCGCGGTGGCACACACATCCAGACGAACGGAATTTTTATCCACGTTGGGATGGCGACGGTGAATTTAGTTTCATGTGTCTGTGAAACAGTTGGTTTATTCCATAGCTAAGGCATATTTTTGAATATGGCTTAATTAAGGAAATGACATGCTCTGATATGTTTATCCTTGTGGTGTTTTTGAAATGTTGATGGTGAGTTTTCCTAATTCCGTGAAGCTGTCCCAGTGGTGGCTGTTTTTCTAAACGTGCCTATTTTAAGCCTCGTCTAATTTCAGCCCACGTCAACCTTGCCAACGATCTCTCCCGTCATCCACAACGGGGAAGATCGCAGGTGCAGCGAGTCACTGACACGTCAAAGGCACGGAATGCCTTTATCCGTCTAGCAGTGGATAGATGATGACTGATGACGGCCGTCGGTCATGATATCATTAAGTGCTTCGCATTGGGCAAGCTTAATCAGAATCAGAATATTTATCCCGGACGAATCCGATGAGCTTTAAAATCCCTTTTTCACAGATGTGGCTCAACGGACAAGTGGCTTTTTCACTAAACCATCAAAACAACATCGTCCTGAGCGACCAAATAAAAAGTAAAAATAAATCCCAGAGTGAAATCTTGGAGCGGCTTTCAAAAGCACTGCTGGTGCCCCGATCGTAGCCTTATTGACTGTTTATTGATGAAAGCTTAGGGCACAAATAATAACCTTGAATGTGCCCAATTCTGTCCGATCTTGGAAGCGAAGCGGTGTTAGGCCCGGTTAGTGCTTGGGCGAGCGACCACCACGCACAAACCGGTGTTATAGGCTGTGGGCCTCTGGCCATGTTGTGGTGCATAAAAATCCATTCAGCTGTACAATGTACTCCGCTCCCCCCTTTCACCAACCCACACTGACCAATGAGGTGAAGTATGATCAGAACCCCCCCCCCGAAAAACGACCCACACGGCATGGGAGAGGCTCATGTCCAGCAGTGGATTAGCAAAGTTAGTGTGTGCGTTGTCGCTGCTGATGTCGCGATTGGGTCCCGTTGCCGCTAACAAGTTGGAAATTCATATTCTTTGGGTCTTTCGGTAAAGTCACGTAGATAGGTTAACAGAAAATAACAAAAAAAACACTTTCTGATGACGAACGCTTGTGTTGCGATCGAAACGTCGTAGTTTTTTGTTATTTTCTTTGAACCTATCTATGTGACTTTACCGAAAGACCCAAGGAATATGAATTTCTGCAGTCACGAAAGCTTTAAGTCAAGGTTGAATTTGGAAATTGGTCCTCGGCACCTTGTGATGCCCCTGAGCGCAGCATTGTTCACCGCCACGGAATACCTCTGTCCAGCAGTGGATTGATGATTGCTGATGAGGGCCGTCGGTCGTGATGTCATCCGCCTCTCGCCATCAGACGAACGCGGCTGGAACCGCGGCCATGAGGGCAGTGCTGTGGAATTTGCTGTTCGATGGAAATGGTCTTCATATTTGGGGGGCTGATCGCCACCATCATTGCCACCGGCGCTGCTACCAAAAATATATAATCGCTCTTGGGATCGCAAACACACGAACACACATGCACACACACGTGTACGTATAGATATGTAAAATATATTTCAAAGCGCCACGAAAATAAGGCGTGTGTCATGGCATGGTGGCTTGCTGAAGAGAGTGAAACGGAGGGGATGACGTGTGCGAGGGCCCTGTTTAAACGTCAGCCAACCTCGTCGCTAATAGCCCCTTGTTGCCGCTATTTGAGGCTCGGAGGGAGCGCATTTGGTCGTAGCTGCTGATCTCATCCCCCGAAGCGCCGCAGCTGCCTGAGTCACCCCCCCCCCCCCCCGGCACCGCGCTTAGAACGTCGCTGGCCTCTACGCAGTTGCCGCGACATCTGCCAGATCGCCCGCCGCGTATGTCCATCTCGGTTGTTTTTAGGCGTAAAAACGTAGACCCAGGGCGTGCAAATGGTGTGCCGCCGTCTGGCTGAAGAAGCCCGCTGAACGGACTTTTCTCCTGCAGTGGTTCCGCGATGTCGGCATCCGTTGCCTGACACAAGGTGGTGCGCTGCTCGCTACTCACGTTCCTGAACGGGGGAAATGTCTTCGTCTTTTGACCCAGACAAAGGTGGCGCGATGAGAATATAGTTGGGAGAGAAGTGCATATCTATATTTAGTTTAAACGTGACGACGCAAAAACGTTAACGGCATGCTACCGTTAGTTTTGTTACCGCTCCTAAACGGACAGCGCCAAGCGTGTGCGCAACGTGGATGAAGCCGGAGCTCCGCTTGACCAGCGCTTATCGTGATAGACGAAAAGGAGCGGTTGGGAAAGTGTGCAACGTGTTTTTAATTGCGGCAACTTGTGGCTGGACTGTCTGTCTGGAATTTCCAAGAGCAGACCCCCGCACGATTACTTTGAGATTGTGAACAGCGACGGTCGACGGACGAGTCGGGAACAAAACAATTACGGTAGCGAGCTTATCGCTTTTGCCTTTGACCGCGCGCTCCTCCATTTTCATTTCATCATCTAACCCAGTCAAGTAGAAAGCTGCTGGTAAAAATGTCAACCTGCTTGTGTAATTTCACACATTCGAGACTGTTTATCTCGATTTAACAGGGGGGGGGGCCCTGGGTTGAGTTTTACACACCAAAACAACCGGTTATCGTGCCGTTAAAATAAAAGACGTGCCCGCTGAATAACGGCGAAGAAACGAATCGGCGAGTCCGTAGTGACACGTGCCGCAAAACGCATCCGCCTTACCCCAAGTCCGTAATCCACACGTAACTGGCAACAAAACTGCCAATCTTCATCATATATATAAAAGGCAAAGTTGTGAATGTGTGTCTGTTCAAAATTTTTAGCGTACTTCCCGACATGCAACAAACTGGAAATTTGCCATGTGGGTACTTTTCAGACTGTACACCATGCAAAATTTTTTTAAATACACTTTTTTTGGGGGGGGTTTGGGGGGAGCTCAATAATGCATTTATTTTTTGCACAGCAAGTGAGCTGTGACGTCAAATCTGTCACGTGACCCGCGCATGTGGAGGCGTAACGCATTGTAGTGTAGTGGTGAGTGCGCTGCGCTACGAACCCGGCGACCCGAGTTCGATTCCCGCTCACGGCCACCACCGGTGACGATTATTTTAACCGCTCATGAGCCTCCCCAAGGTCGACTCAGCCTCAAACGAGTAACTGCTGTGGTGTGTGAACATTGCCACTGGGGAGACAAAGGCGGCCGGGCGTGGTGAAGGCAAGTCCCGGGCGAAGCCGGGTAGTACAGCTAGTTAAATATAAAGAGTGAAGGCGTACAAAACCAGGCATCTGAATTTCTGCTGAAAAATAAGATACGAGTCTTTGATGTGCTTTCGGATTGTTAAATTAAGGGTTGTCGGATTGAGTGAGGTATTTCAAGAGTGCTTGCTTAGCTAGGAGCCTCTGGATTAATTTTCCCACGAATTGATGTTACGATTGAATGCTGGGATTCGATTCGAGAATCGAGTCTTGTTCGTATTTTTCGTTTGTACCGTCTGATCTTGTATTGTTCGCCTGGCATGTTCCGTCTCGTTTGTGTTGTCCATCAAGTCTCGTATGTTCTTTACTCGTTTGTACCGTCTGATCTTGTATTGTTCGCCTGGCATGTTCCGTCTCGTTTGTGTTGTCCATCAAGTCTCGTATGTTCTTTACTCGTTTGTACCGTCTGATCTTGTATTGTTCGCCTGGCATGTTCCGTCTCGTTTGTGTTGTCCATCAAGTCTCGTATGTTCTTTACTCGTTTGTACCGTCTGATCTTGTATTGTTCGCCTGGCATGTTCCGTCTCGTTTGTGTTGTCCATCAAGTCTCGTATGTTCTTTACTCGTTTGTACCGTCTGATCTTGTATTGTTCGCCTGGCATGTTCCGTCTCGTTTGTGTTGTCCATCAAGTCTCGTATGTTCTTTACTCGTTTGTATTGCCCGTCTTGGCGGTCGTGTACGTTCCGTATTGTTTCGCGTGGATTGTTTTGTTTTCCATTGCCCCGATGGTAACAGTTACTTACAAAAATTTGCGCATCCAATAGATAATCAATTCTCCCGCGCACAATCCAGTAACGTCGTATCGTGAGCCCGAGTATCGATTTTAATTGCCACTTCCCTGTCGGGTGTTTCGTGTTTTCGGAATCGAATGCTCACCTGAGCGCGTGCGTGCGCGTTGTGTGTCCGCCGCCTGCCCCTCCCCCGTTTTATGCCGGCCAGCCCGCTGTTTGTGACGTGGAAGATCGGACGAGACAAACGCCTGCGTGGTTGCATCGGCACTTTCTCAGCCATGAATCTGCACTCAGGACTCAGGGAATACACCCTAACCAGGTGAGGGGCGTCTTGCCTGGACCATCGCCTGTCAAGGGCACGCACCTGCACCAAAACAATCCACGGTGGTGAGAAACCTTTCCCGGGCCTCTTAATTCGTCTGCCGGTGTTTCTGTCTGTCCGTCTGTCCGTGTCGTCATGGTAACTCATCAAGATGAACCAACACTGGCTTACGTTTGCTTTGCTCGGATGGGTGGCCACCATGCACAAACAGGTTGCTATGGGCTGTTGCGGGGCCACGTGGGCAGCAGAGGGCAGTGTAGCGAAATCCATTGTTGTACTGTACCTCCATTCCCCGGCGTCTATGCATGCCTCGCCTTCGCCAAATCGCAGGTGAAGCCGGATCCAACACCTCCCTCTACACAACCCGCACAGCGTGAAGAGGCCATCATCCAGCAGTGGATTGACAGAAGGGCCCCACGTGTCGCATGTGTGGCATTGCTAGACACTGTTCGGTGAAAATGCTACCCTGCGAATACGCACGTTTCCACGCTTGTGCGTCGCTCTCCGATCTGTTTGATTCTTTATTGTCATGGTGGTGAGATGTTCACTACCTCACCTGGTATACAGGAGGTTGTGGGTTCAATCTCAACCCTGATGCCTGTATATTTGGAGTTTGTGGTCACGTGGATATTTCTCAGGGTCCTGAGGTCTTTCCCTCCACATTTTAGAAATGTGCATTTAGAGTATTTGGTTGCATTACATTTGCGTGTGATAAGCCACTTTGTTGAGTTATCGTTTGTGGCCAGGTCACTTCTGACACAGAGCTGCACAGCTCAGTAGGCCTTACCTGGTAAAATACTATTTTTTTATAGTTTAGTTTATGGCAACCGAATTTCCTTCCTGAAGACGCTCCCAGAACGACGAGCGAAACGTCGGACGTCGTGCCGAGCAGCGGCGTGGCACAACTCGATAGGACACCGGAGAGGCACAACGCGAGCTCTGTTCTTGTGAAACAGTCCCAGCCCGATATCCGTGACCCCCCTCCGCCCCCCGTGTCTTTTTCTGTAGCTGTAAAATAATTCACGAGTGGATAGGGGTGAGGGGGAGTAGGCCTCTCCAGTAGCCCTGAAAGTCACATGATATGAGGTTGACACTGCCCCCCCCCCGCTGGCTATATTTGATTAAACGGGTGGTCCATTTCTACAATTAGTTTGGCAGTTATCGGAGAATGGCTATTGGATTTTTTTAAAGAGAACGGTCTGTTTTGAGACCCGGGTTTCGTCGCTACCGTGCATGTTGGCGGGCGGCGTTGGTGTAATTTGCGTTTTTTTAATTCACTCGCGACCGTGCTTTCCGTTCGATTACCCTCCCCCCCACATTTAATTACCAAACTTTATTAATCATAGCCCCGCCTAATTCTTTACGGTTAAAAGTGATCAAAGTCAAAAGTGTTTCAGCGTTTCTGCTCGAGCCTAGCAATGGGCAGAGCTAATCTCCAGCGGTGGCGATGGGTCACTTGTGGAGATTTAAAATTCACATGTTGGCGTGTAATTATGCATTCTCTCAAATGGATTTGTACGCTGTCTGTATATGTACGTGTGTGATTTGAGTGGTGCGTGTAAGAATCATTTACGTACAGTTTATGGTAATATTTGAGGTCCACTTATGGAGTGACTAAGACATTGACTTGACGCTACAAATGGGACACAATGCAAATGAGACGTTACAATTAAGAACGAGGAGCTAAACGTCAAACGTCATGCCGAGACACAATACAAATGAGGCATTACAAACTAGACGGGCAGCATAAATGAGATGGTACTAAGTAGACACGGTACAATACAGACAGGCAGAACAAACAGTACAATACAAACGGGAACAGACAATACAAACTCGATAAAGAATACGAGATCAATATAATAACACCAAGACAACAATAAGTACTTGCTTGCAATGCATCGATAGTATGAATCCTAACAGTTCGTCACATTGCTTGCTGAATTAAACTATTAAACCTCCGTAAACTTCCCACATTATTTGGAACTCAAGTTATCGGCTCATCTCGGCACATCTCCGATTTGAAGAAAAGAGCACTGATCCCACAGCGCCCACCTTGACGCACTTAGAAATGTTGGTCAGACGTTGAGGTTTTTTCTCACCCCCTTCTCTCGCTTTTAATGAAATTTCAAATTCCCCAGTGCAGTCACGTAAAACGCCGTTTAATATTCTGCCCGTGTTTTTTTTTTTACGGCCACATCCGAATTGCACGCGCTGAATGACGCCAATTGTCTCGGTCCGGATCTTGGTGATCGGCCCACCGACGTTTGAGATTCCGTCCAGGGATGAAACTCATTAGCGGAGCCAGCTGCTAAGATTCCGCCTTTGTTTGTGTTCAGTCAAATCCACGCGACCGACTGCACGAGTTAACGTTGCGCAAAATGGTCAGGACAACAGGCACAACGCCCATTAAAATCTTTTCACTATAATTTGCAAGCACAGGGCGTCGTTCGGGGGAGATGACCTCGTAAACACTGCGATTGTGAAACGGGTATTTAAGATGCCACGCTGCTCTGGAAGTAAATGTCATTTTCCCCCTGGGTAATGCCACCCTTTTTTTAAAGTTATATATTGTTTTTTTTACGATTGTGGTATCGGTATCCCCGGCACGGAAAACACATCCATTCCGAATCCTTGCAGAGCAGCACAAGCATGTGTGTGAGAGAACGGCACGTGAAAGGAAACGCCCTGGAACCACTTCTGAGATTCCCCTTTTCCACGCTTGGGCGACTGCAGTTTCCCCTCGCTGTGTAGAGATGTTCGTCGCGTGACAGTCAAAACGTCGGACCGCCCGACAAGTGCAGCGAAACGTCGGCCGTCGTGCCGAACAAGACGCGGTACAACCTGAAAAACACACTGGATAGTGTGTTCCCTCCCCCCGATCGATTCGTCCGTGCGTTTGGATGCAAAGGTTCATCACACCAGCCTGTGGCAGTGGATTGTAGATGGAGGGTTGCCAGTTCATGAACAAAACGAGGGGTGGAGCAAACGTCAGCTGACGGAGGAATACGCTGAAATGGAAGCCGGTGTAGGTGATTGCGGTAACACCATCGCTCAGGACGCATTGTAGGGAAGTCGCTTGGGAGGCTTTTATTCAGCAGTGGTTTAAGCATGGCTGTTAACAGGTTTTGAATGAGCAAAGGAGTGTTGGTAATACAAACAGTGCATGGCAGGGAGGGGTAGGGCGGTGAGTAATTATTGTTAAATGTTTTATTTTTCCATATCTTGTATGGCATCTGCGGACAACACTCCCTGTTGTTTGTTAAATCGGTAAATGCCAGATGATTATTATTACTTTGCCCTCTGTTGGCTTATTCACTGTCCCTGTGACGCATCACAACGTGGTGACGCGAGGTCTGTGTGACATTATTGGGTTTCATGTGACACCCACTACGACCAGACCGACTCTGAGGGTCTCTACATCACCATCATCATTATTATTATCATCAACATCATACACATCATGATCGTCAACACCGCAGTGATAAGGTGTGTAACGATTTGTAAAATCGTTAATCGGTATCGATCGTGTGAGCTCACGATACGTGTATCGAATAGTGTATCACAATTTGTTTTTGATTCTTATATTTTGTATGTCGTGTGTTAGCCTAACACCTCAATGACCCACATTGTTGAATTTGTATAAAAAATATATATAAATTCTTGGATCGGATCACGACTCTGAATTGTGACAACACGCCCCCTTAATTGATGTCACGATTGTCACCGCTGTTATCATCGTCGTCATAACCGCCGGTGGCATCGTTTTAATTACCGTCAAACATTATCGCTATAATTTCATCACCGTCGTCATTGTCAATGACATCATGCAGCCCGTTGTGTGCCTCGCCAACAGTAACCTGCTGTGTGCTTGGCTACATTTAGATGGAGCTGCTGCAGCCGAGTGAGTTGGTAGTCGAAGTCCACCGCGGATAGCGATCTCACGGAAACGCTTACCCGTTCGTACTTCTGTTAGGGCGACCATCCTAGGAGGGATCTTTTTTCCTAATAATTTCGCTCGAAGCTTTTGTTCACGACGCAGAGAGTTGCGTTCGGTTACGCGCGTGTGTTCTAAAGCCGCGCGTCATCCGCGGAGACGCGAGACTTTAAAACTGGACCGAGAGACTGAAAAAAAAGCGGCGCGCACACAGAGTCCCCCATTCGTCATATTGACCTGCTGAGAAACGTGAGTGGACTTGGCCAGGGCTCGTCGCTGGCAGCGACAGTGCGGCCTCCTAGCGACAATAACAAACCGGGTGCCCGTCACAGGAGGGCAACACGCGCCCAAGAGCACGACCCACCGCGGAGACGGAGCGGTGACATGGGCTCGTGCGCAGGTGCTAGATGGGGTTTGCTGCGCTACGAACCCGGCCATCCGAGTTCGATTCCCACTCGCGGCCACCAACACGAGCGACGATTATCTGAACCGGTCCTGGGCTCCCCGAGGTCGACTCGGCCATAATATGAGTACCCGAGAGACAAAGGCGGCCGTGCGTGGTGTTGGCCAACCCACCCTTCCGTGTGCCATGCCGGCCTTCATAGGTGCTCGATAATGGCACAATCCCCAACAGTCTGTTATGGCTCTACAGGGGCTCTTTGTCTTTGTGTGTAACACATATACTCTTCTTGTGTGTGCGCACGTCACCTCCACTGTGTGCATCTCTGCTCATTCCCATCCGCTTCACTAATCTCCGCTGCTCGCCCACGGCTACGATCTGCCCGGCGACAGGCACGAGGCCTGGCTGTGATTGGCTGCTTCTCCAATGTGCCGCCGTCTCATTGGTCGCTTACCCGGCACGGGCTGCCCCCCCCCTCCACCCGGTCCTCCTGTCGCTGGGGCTCTGCCCTCACTCGTGCAGCATCATCAGTTTCGTCAACAGCAGCAGCAGCAGCATCATCATCAGCCGCAATAACAAAAGCAGTGCCATCCGCAGCAGTAGCATCATCAGTAGCATGCTCTTCAGCATGAGTGGTATATAATCATCATCGTCATCAGCAGCAGCAGTAGTCGCAGTACCGTGAGCATCATCATCTTTGTCAGCAGTAGCTAATGTAACCGTAGCCATCATGACTATCGGCAACAATAGGAAAAGCAGTACGAATACCATCATGATCATAATTGGCATTGGCAACAATAGCAGATACAGCAGTAGCACCATCATAATCATCAGTAGCAGCACCATCATAATCATCAGTAGCAGCACCATCATAATCATCAGTAGCAGCACCATCATAATCATCAGCAGCAGCATCATAATCATCAGCAGCAGCACCATCATAATCATCAGCAGCAGCACCATCATAATCATCAGCAGCAGCACCATCATAATCATCATCAGCAGCAGCACCATCATAATCATCAGCATTAGCACCATCATAATCCATCAGCAGTAGCACCATCATAATCATCAGCAGCAGCACCATCATAATCATCAGCAGCAGCACCATCATAATCATCAGCAGCAGCACCATCATAATCAGCAGCAGCACCATCATAATCATCAGCAGCAGCACCATCATAATCATCAGCAGCAGCACCACCATAATCATCAGCAGCAGCACCATCATAATCATCAGCAGCAGCACCATCATAATCATCAGCAGCAGGACCATCATAATCATCAGCAGCAGCACCATCATAATCATCAGCAGCAGCACCATCATAATCATCAGCAGCAGCACCATCATAATCATCAGCAGCAGCACCATCATAATCATCAGCAGCAGCACCATCATAATCATCAGCAGCAGCACCATCATAATCATCAGCAGCAGCACATCATAATCATCATCAGCAGCAGCCACATCATAATCATCAGCAGCAGCATCATAATCATCAGTAGCACCATCATAATCATCAGCAGCAGCAGCACCATCATAATCAGCAGCAACAGCACCATCAATCATCAGCAGCAGCAGCACCATCATAATCATCAGCAGCAGCAGCACCATCATAATCATCAGCATTAGCACCATCATAATCATCATCAGCAGCAGCACCATCATAATCATCATCAGCAGTAGCACCATCATAATCATCAGCAGCAGCACCATCATAATCATCAGCAGCAGCACCATCATAATCATCAGCAGCAGCCATCAATCATCAAGCCCATAATCAGCAGCAGCACCATCATAATCATCAGCAGCAGCACCATCATAATCATCAGCAGCAGCATCCTAATCATCATCAGCAGCATCATAATCATCATCAGCAGCACCATCATAATCATCAGCAGCAGCACCATCATAATCATCAGCAGCAGCACCATCATAATCAGCAGCAGCACCATCATAATCATCAGCAGCAGCATCATAATCATCATCAGTAGCACCATCATAATCATCAGCAGCAGCAGCACCATCATAATCAGCAGCAACAGCACCATCATAATCATCAGCAGCACCAGCACCATCATAATCAGCAGCACCAGCACCATCATAATCAGCAGCAGCAGCACCATCATAATCATCAGCAGCAGCACCATCATAATCATCAGCATTAGCACCATCATAATCCATCAGCAGTAGCACCATCATAATCATCAGCAGTAGCACCATCATAATCATCATCATCAGCAGCACAATCATCATCAGCAGCACCATCATCATCGGCGGCAGCAGCAGTGAGAAAAGCATCGGCGGAATAAAATCAGAGCAGCAATTGAATTGTGCCGGGGTAGAAGCACAAAGACGTTGTGGGTCGAGGGGTTAACGGTTTGGTGTCTCCGCAGCTCCCGGCACCGAGAGCGGCCGCGCCACAGATGCCGCACGGTGGCAGCGGACGTGGCCGTTGTAATTATAGGGCGGTCGCTCGCCTGTTGGGTCGCGTGGGAAGCCGCCTATAAATAATCGACTGGAGGAAAAGCCCTCCCAGCCATTGCCGGGTTTGACGAAAGGAGTTCGTGGGCGGTGGCGGCGTCATTGTGGCGTGTGACGCTGCCGTGTTGATGAAAACAGCCGGGTCTCGTTATCGGCCGTGGTCGCTCCGTTGCTGGACGAAGGCCCTCCCACCCCCCCCCAAGTTTCAAGTTTCATTTATTAGGTACATAGCCCTGTGAGCCATTCGGCTCTTGAATCGGGTGCAACCGCAACAAACAAAAAAACAAAAACATGAACCAGAAAACTACGTGCAAACAGAAAATCCAAGAAAAGACAGCAAAATATTGCAGAAAAAGCACCGTACACCAACACTGTGTGCAAAAATCCCAGTGGGATGCAAGTCAAACAAAAAAGCCGTCACCCTCCCGCGTGAGATCCACGATGCAGAAAATTCCGTCAGCACCTGCGCGTGTTGAGATGTTTATCACATTCCATGATGTCTCTTCCCCGAGGCCGTATTACATTGATGGTGCTGTTTGTTGCTGGCCGTTTTATATTTTTGGTCGTTGCCCGTCAACTTTGTTAACAAAAAACTAAAATATAACCCATGACAGTTAGACCAAAATGTTTACATTTTCATAGCTTATATTTTATAAATTCGATTTAAAGCTTCTTTCGTGACTGCAGGGATTCCTCTTCTTGGTTCTTTCGGTAAAGTCACGTAGAAGGGAAATAATGAAATAATATAAAAATATTGAACAATTAAATTTCTCACAACGTTTCGACTGCAACACAAGCAATCATCATCAGATGTGAAATCCACAGCAAGAAATTTCATTTTATTATTTCTCTTCTACGTGACTTTACCAAAAGAACCAATAATATATTTTATAAGTTGTGTGAAAGACCAAATTTACCATAATTGGTTTTTTTTGTGTATGTACAGTCATTGGTGATGAGGCTCAAACCATGAACTCACTCGCTACACTTGAGGACCTGGATCCGAACCCAGGTTGTTGGCAATGCCGGCTCAGAGATCTGACTTTTGAGCCACCCAGCCACCGCAGCTGAATAGATAATCATACGTAACGCCGTTCAGAAAGTTGTCGTCAAAGTCATTTCATAATGAACACGAATAGAGAACTGTCTTTGTTTTTTTTGTTAATTGATTGATTTGTAGAACTGTGTGTGGAAATGTCGTCATCGTCAGCCATGATCAACCCATTAGCGGGTGAAGGCCTCAAGCCGATGCCACCTCTCCCTATCCTCCTGTTGTCCCACTATTTATACAGCTTCTGTCGGATAGACTGTGGAAATCTTAACAGTGGAAACATTGGTTTTTTTTTTAGATGCAAGTCCACTTCCATCGCGGGTGGTGTCGCCACCACGCCCAGTTCAACTGGCCCAGCGTTTGAGGGAATCGGATTACCTCTTGAGAGCAAGAGAAATTTTCAGGGAAATTGACGCAGGTTATTTATAAAGTGTCATCGTATGAGGATGTTTAAGAAATAAAAAAAAACTGCCAGCGTCCCGTTCTGCACGGCCGCCGAACATCGAACATCACTAAATAACGCGCCCCCCCCCCTCTCCCTCCACTCCCTTCCCAAAAACCAGCTGAGCGGCATTTAAAAATAAACGTGAAGGACTATATTCTGCATGCTGGTTTCACGCTCCACCTCTTACGATGCAGCCCTAGGTAAACAGGGGCCCGCCAGAGGATTGGAGAGCGAGGAGAGGGGAATTTCTAAAAGCAGCCCCCCCCCCCCGCTGCGAACGCGGGCAGTAAAAATAACACAGCTACCAGCCCTGTGTCCATTGAGCGGGCCTCCATCTTGTCAAGGTGGGGGGGGGGGAGGGGTGTTTGACCGCGCCAAACAAAAGTGAGCACCTTAAATAAAATGTTAAGGCGCAGGCCTGCAATTGTGCTTGTGCAAGTCTTTGCTTGTGGAAGGAGCCCTCGCGAGGGGGAATTCGGGAGAGCTCCTTGGAAAAAGTGTGTTTTGGCCTACTCCTACGGTGGCCCACTTACATCGATGATGGGTGTCTGCACCTGTACAAGCAAGCCTCTGTCTATGCGCGCATGTGTCTACTTGCGTGTAACGCCGGGTGCCTGCGTGTGCCTGCGTCCTCCCAGTGCCCTTAAGGACAGTCGCTTTCCTGCCATGACGCGGGAGGAGCTTCCGCGGCTGTTCTGCTCCGTGTCGCTTCTCACCAACTTTGAGGAAGCGGATGACTACCTCGACTGGGAGGTCAGGGTGACTCCCAGCGTACACCACCAACACCAGCAGCAGCATCACCAGCATAATCGCCACCATGACTATTACTACTCTTAGGTTTTTTCGGTAAAGTCACGCAAGTAAAAAATAATAATACAATAAAATAAAAATAAATGAAACATTAGTAAATTAAATCATGACGTTTCGGAGGCAACACAAGTCTCCGTCTTCAGGTGGGATCGTCACAGCTAGATTTACTGTACAGTAAATCAGCATTAACACCAAATTTGGCTGTGACGGTCCCACCTGAAGACGGAGGCTTGTGTTGCCTCCGAAACGTCGTGATTTAATTGAGTTACTTTTCATTTATTTTTTATTTTATTATTATCTTACGTGACTTTACCGAAAAAACCTAAGAGTATGAATCCTTGCAGTCACGAAAGCTTCAAATCTAGAATCACTATTACTCACTGCTAACATTAGCATTATCCACCGCTACCATGATCACTATTATATCAGCATTAACACCACTATTGCGATTAGTATCACCACCGTCATTACCAACACCATCGTTACTCCTACTTCTGCCACCAACACTGGCACCAATACCACCACCACCACCATCGTGTTCACTGTCATCAATTAGAATAATTTCGTCAACTTGGTATTCGTGCAATTCTTGCAGATCAAAGCCACCGCTAAGAAAGGTGCAGTGTTTCACAAAGTCTGTAGTAGTTCCACGATAGGGAGTGATATTGTTGTGGTTCAACCAAATTTACTAATTTGTGGTGTAATTGTTCAATTTTGGCAAATTTCGGACCTTCACGCCCTGGCCTACTCCTTTCGAATGACGTTGGGGGAATCTTTTAACGCCCGCTGCGAAGCGGGCGGCGCTTGTCCACTGCGCCCAACCAGGGCAGCCTGGATTAAAACGGTGAACCTCTGCAGCAAGTGGCAAACACGCCACCGCTGTGCCACGCCACCCCCCCCCACCCCAACGTGGCCCAGGGGTAGTGCGTTGTTCTCACGGCACTGCTGTCACATCACCCCCCCCCCCCAACACCACAATCGACAAACAACACCACTGTTGAGACTTGCACGAGCACCGCTGTCACCAGAACAACCACCACCGCAGTTGCCACCGGCTCTTATGTCCACCAACACGAAGTTTAGAGTGCCTCGCAATCGGAAGGTTGCGAGTTCAAATCCTGGTTGGGGGTTATCTCAGCCCATCATCCTTCAATGGTCGATAACGTTTGGTACCACTTTGCGGGAAGTCACCAATGGTTTTCCCATGTATGGACAGACTCACCCCTGGCATATGAATGTGAAATTTCCACAAATCGCTCAGGCCTGCGAACAGGCGATGAGCCACCGCCTTAACGCTCGTGCGAGCGGGAAATCAATTTGACTCTTGTAACTAGCGGAACCGTGACCGTCCCCGCTAGCGCCAAGCCCCGTCGTCACGACCGGCACGGCGCTCGTGCCCTCTCCGCAGTCTCCTCGTACTGAACCCCGGTGGGGCGGGGGAGGGGAGTAGCTCAGTTGTTTACCGGTGGCGATGGTCTCCCTTTGCAGGTGGGCGTGCACGGCATCCGGATAGAGTTCTGCAACGAGAAGGGCGTCAAGCGAACGGCCACCTACCTGCCCGAGGTGGCCAAGGAGCAAGGTAAAGGAGGAGGCAGCACGCACGCTCGCTCGCACTCGCTCGGAGAGTGTTGACGATGACGAGTTCTCTTGCACGTACCGTAGCAGTTCTCTGGTCCACGCCCCCGTGTCCCCGCTCGCACGTCGGGCAACCAACACAATCTTCTTCTTTCGTATGGCTGCTGCTGTAGATGCAGAGCGCGACAACTACAATTTCATATTCAGATAACCGCGTCAGGAGCAGTAGCGGAGTGTATCGGCATGATGTCTCGTATTTGTGGATCGAGCCATTACGTCGTTGTACGTTGCACGGTTTGTTCTGGATGACCGCAGTCCGCATACTACTGGAGAGTTTTTACTACTCCATTGTGCGTCAGTTGTCCACACCTGCCATGGTTTGTGCGGATGGGGATTTAGGGTAGAGCATGAGCTTTCGTGGAAGATCAAACCCAACACAATCATTCTTCTATTGCTGCTCGAGGAGGGATGTTTGGTGGTCGTCGTGAAGCTGCGCAACCTCTATTGTCCCCACGCACCGCTCGCACTGCCGAGCACGCACCCCGCCACCACCTCCACCACCACCCCCCTCCACCTTCACACCACCACCACCCCCCTCCACCACCCCCATCCACCTCCACACAACCTCCACCACCCCCCTCCACCTCCACCACCCCCCTCCACCTCCACCACCCCCATCCACCTCCACACAACCACCACCACCTCCACCACCCCCCTCCACCTTCACACCACCACCACCCCCCTCCACCACCCCCACCACCACCACCACCCCCCTCCACCACTCCCATCCACCTCCACCACCCCCCTCCACCAGCCACCTCCACACAACCACCACCACCCCACTCCACCTCAACACCACCATCTCCCCATCTCCACCCTCCACACCACCACCACCACCACCCCATCTCCACACCCCCCACCATTACCCAAACAAGCCCCAACTTGTATCCGGAGGAATGGGCGGGACCTAAAGAAGAACGGGGCGGAGCCCTACAGAGGTGGATCTCACCTCTTAATTTTACGTAATAAATGCGTAGAATCAAAAACTGCAGCTGGCAGTAGCAGCAGCAGCAGCATAGCTTTTAGTGCCGCAGACGCCACCACGGGCCGTTGAATAATGATGAGTGACATTTGGTATTCGTGCCACTCCTGATGGGAGCAGGGCTATCTCAGAGGCGCCCTGTTTCGCCCCCGAAGGCATTGCGTTTCACAGAAGGTGTGATCCGATGCGTCCGTTCCACCACTGTTGAGTTGTGGGTGTGGAGCGGTTGTAACTCGCGTGCGCTGCTGCAGGATGGGACCAGATTCAGACGATTGATTCGCTGCTACGTAAGGGTGGCTACAAGGCACCCATCTCTACTGACTTCAGGAAGACCATCAAACTGACCAGGTGACTTGTGGAAAGAAGAAAGGCAAAGCTCGGTTCTGTGATTCGGGACGTACATTTTAGAACGCGTGTAATTATTGTGCGATGTTGTTGTATAAATGGACAAAATTACTGTTGCTACGAAACTCGCTGAGCTCTTGATTGCTCGTCGAAAACAGACGTGGACTCATTGGTTTCCTCCCAACACAACAAATGCTCCTCCTCATCATGGGCTTGGCCTAACATCACAGTGCAGGATCGTCCTGAAAATGCATGCTTGAGACTGTGCTCCTGTTAGACACACGCAGACAGATAAAGGTACACACAGACTGACGCACGTACGTACGTACGTATGTATGGCGATACGTGGAGTATGCACACACGCAGCCCCAGCCATCTACGGATAAACACGCAAAGCGGTTCATAGGATCACAGCCACACACAGCTGTTCACACACGTACAGGTGGGCTCGGGGTTTGCTGCCATGGTGTCATGGTTAGCACGCTGCACTGGAAATCCCACGGGTTGCCGGTTCGATCTCCCGGCACAAAGAGCTGTAAATATGTGATTCTTTCGGTAAAGTCACGTAGAAGGGAAATAATAAAATAATAAAAATATCAAAATACAATTCTTTTACTACGTTTCGACTGTGACACAAGCAATCATCATCATCATCGTGTTTGAAATCCACAGCAAGAAAAATGAAAAAATATGGGGTAAGTTTCTTAAATCCCCACCGCCCCAACCCCCACCTCTTTTCACCCAGCAGTGTAAATGGGTACAGCGCAGCTGATCCGGTAGAGATCTTGTGTGGTGGGGTAAAGTGTGGGTACTCCCAGCTGGCCAGCATGGAAGAATAGATCAACACCTCCTTTTCTAGCGGACTCTAGAACTCCCTCTACAATAGGTGGGAGATCCTTCTGCCAGCAGTGGCACGAGCAAGAAATTTCAGGGCTTCACCTTTACATTAAACACTCTTGCCGTGCTGCCGCCCCTCCCCCCCCCTCCTCCTCCGCAGATACCGCAGTGAGAAGGTAACGGTGAGCTACTCGGACTACCTGGCCTCGCGACACCAGACCGTCCACAACGGCGTCACCTACCCAACCGCCCCCCACTACGCGCACTACTCCTGACGGCGCGCCCCCCGCGGGCCCCCGCCCCCGCCGCCGCTAGGCCGACCTCGCACCACCCGGGACCAAGTGGCCCCCCGCGGGGGGGGCTCGGCGCGACGCGAGGGCGAGCCCCCCCGGCTGCCCCCCGCGGAACACTCGTGAGGGCGTTCGCGTCCAAAAGGCGGTCGCACCGGCGGTCCGGTGCGCTCGCCACGGCTCCCACCCCTCCCTCCCGGCCCCCCCCCCCCTTCCCCATTACAACCCCTGACCTCGTGGTCAAGCCCAGTTATGTTTTAAAAGCTTTGGCGGTTGTTTACTCGCGCCAGCATGACCTGGAAAGCGGGGGTTGTTATTACTTTTTTATGTTATTAGTATGGTTGTTCTTTTAAATGCAATGGCTTTTATGTTACTCCAGAGTAGGCAAGTAACGATTTGGTGGGTTTTCGCATTTCGGCATCGCTTATCTGATTGAGCAATCGGTTTATTTTCCAACTAACAATAGCAGTCATCTATCCACTGCTTTATTTGTACTGCATCTACCGTCCCGCCTGTCCCGCTGCCTTGCACGCACACTCTTTTGCTCGTAACGTCCATCTCATTTGTACCGTCTGCCTTGCTTTTTTTACCGTCTTTGTACTCTCTCGTTCGCCTCGTTGGCCTAAACGTGACATCAACGTACAATTCCCGCGCAACGATTTTTCGCAAATCGCAAAAGCGAGTGGAGTTCCTTCCCCCCCCCCCCCCGCTTGCACGGTTTCCATTCGTGCAACGTGAGCGTGGCGTGTAAGTAAAAAAACAAAAAAATCTTATTTCAACCGACGAACTGACGCATCGTCGTTACGTGCCTACTCGGAAGCCCTCGCTCGGCCCTAACGGGGGTGGTGGCTGTGAGGGGGGGCGGCGCGGTCTTCAACACAACAACAACAACAACAACGGCCGCTGTTTAAACCGATAATCTCTCGCGGGATCCGGACTGTGTTCGGGCTACGTGCCGGCGATTGTAAGCCACCCTCTACGCGTCCGTTCCCCCCCCCCCCGACACAGTTGGATTCCCGTTACGCTTGGAGTTACCTTCGCTCGGCCGATCTCCCATCGCTCGCGCCGCTGGAATTTGCACTACGAGCCGAGAGCCGCCCCCTTCTGTACTCCCACCGCACCATCGTCGCTCTGCCGTGTAACCGCTCGATGATGAACATAAGAATATTTGAGGGCAATCGTCGTTGCTGCAAGTTGTCGCTGGCAATAGTGGCCGCGATTTTCAGTTTCCGAAATCCGGATGATTCTGTTGGCTGCGAATCCCCCCTTGTGTGCATTTGGGACGCATCGTCCAGTTGGACAGCAGATAGAAGTCACGTGACTAACCTCCCGAGGTTTTGTGTGCTCTGTAGACCAATCGTTGTTCATGAAAAACACACTTTTAAGAAAAGTTTTTCTTTGGCCAGAGGGAGTTCTGTCACTGCGTCCATAGCCCCATAACCAAATCACCCGCAGTGCACCCGTCAGATATTTTAAGCCTGCATGGTACATTGATGAGTGACCACCACGCACAAAGAGGTTGCCATGGGCTTGCTGGCGGAGCTCATGTGGTGGGCAGCCAGAGGGCAGTGCAGAAAAATCCGTTGTACTGTGCTTCTATGCTCCCTATCTCACAGTGACCAGTGTGATGAAGTGTTGTCAGAAAACCCACACAAACTGTGTGGAGAGCCCCCGCATCCAACAGTGGCTTGACTAACGGGGTTGACACACGTCACCGGTACTTGTGAAGGGGGCCCTGTCCGTTGGCCGTAGTTGCTCATGGGAAATGTGTTTTGCCGGCGACGGTTGTCTTAAAATTATCATCGTGCATCCTCGACCTTTTACAGACGTACGGCATCGATCGCGCCGACCTTTTAACCTTAGACGAGCATTACAAATTCTAGCTTCACCTTGTTTGTAAAATCTGCAGCAGTAACAAAACTTGCAATGGGGGGGTGGTGGTGGTGGTGGGGGAGGGCAAGGCTAGTCCAGATGCCACGACTCGTCTCTTGATCGTTCGCTGTGGACGGAAATGTCACTCGTCGCGCTGAGTTCCCAGCGCAGCGCCGCAAAGCACTGCACCATTGCGCTCCACCCCAGTAAGGGTGTGTGTGCGCACACGTATGGCGCGTGTCGATGTATATGCAATAAGTATATACATGTCACAGCGTGGGGGGGCGGCGGTCATGTCCTGAGCTAGTGGTGACAATTCCACATTCCTATGGCAGGGAACAAGTCTATTCATGGGATGACCAAAATGCACGTAAATCAAAATACACGAATCAATCTGATGCATATATGTGCCTGCCTGACCCTCTGCTCACAACCATTAAGAACCACCATCATAGTGGACAGGCCCCGGGTAAAGTCGGAACCATTTCCTTTTCTCCTTGGAGGTGCGAAATCAAATTTCCGTCTTTGGTTCTTATTTTTACCACATAGTTGAAGAGCAACGACAACTCGTGGTCAAAAGGAAATCCAGAAAGGCGGAGGAAAGCGACGCACTTTACGATCATCGTTGATGCACGCCAGGGGGAGGGGGGGGGGCGACGTTTTACTTGCATGGGGTTTTGTCTGCGGTGGTGGGGGGCCAAGGGAATTCCAAGTCAAGCGGTTGATCTGCACCACTGCACCATGGCTGCTGTTATTGCTGCTGCTGATGCTGATGTTGCTGCTGTTACTCTTCACGGTTGAATCGAAAACTTTCAAGACGAAAGTTGAACAATTCCGGATAAATCTCTTTTTATGCCATTTTTACATTTCTTTTTTCTTCTTCTTTGGAAAAATTATTGAAGCAAGAAATCGAGTTGATGTTAAGGGTTGCGTTCATGTAACCGATTTAAACCATCACGGTGCGATAAACTTTTTTTGTAACTTTTATTTTTAAAAGAAGAGGCTGGTATATTTGTATTACCGCCTTGTTCAGTGTTCGAGGCAGCCATGGCGCAGTGAAAAGTGCAGGGATGTCACGGTAAATCCCCTTCCTGTGTCTCCTCCGTTGGCGGCGGTGGATTCAATTTCTCTCTCTGTGGCTTGACCCATCCTCTTGCTGTCGTGTTCGTTTCGCCGAATCGTCGTTTGTGTACTTTGTCGTATGTAGTCGGCTCGGCCCAGTGGTGACTACGGCCACCCCGAGCTCACTCGGCCGTCGAGCTCTTCACCGTTGATGGATTTTGTCCGAGTTTTGTTTGAGATGTTTCCTTCTCCCGTCATCTCGCTCTCTCTGTCCACTCTGTCCGTCATTGCGTTTACATGCTTCGCGGGCCATGAGACATCCTGCCCGGCAACGACGTCTGGTCAATTTGGATGTCACGACAGCCACACGACCCAAGCCACGACGTCGGGAGAACACTACCCAACGTACAATCGCAACGGTGACATCGTCCATCCAAAAAAATTCTGTCTCCGATTTTTTTTTCTCTCCCTTCCCATCTAGGTTCAGTTTTCTTTATGCAGCCACTATAAATAATTGGCCGGAAATGGCGTTTTGAAGAACAAGGCTGCCAGTTTATGCACAGATTGTGTTGCAATTACAAGTTTACAGCAGGGGTGCGGGATCTAAACGATGTGTCGATTCAAATCGATTCGCGTGCATCGGATCACGCGGGCACGTCAGAATCAATGTTGGTTTTGCGATTCGAATTTACCGTCTGTATGCAATGGGCTCACGCTCGCCGCTGCAGCCCACTGGAGGCGCTGTCGTTTATCGCCACGATGTAAGAAAATCGATGTACGGAATCTATTCTCGTGTTTAAAAAAAAAAACGCTGACCTACAATCGTAACGATTCATCGCTTAGCCAGAAACCGAGGTGGTGGTGGGGGGGGGGATGAATAGCTCCACTCGTTGACTAAAGGTAATGTCTTTCCTGAGGGACCCCCCCCCCCCCCCATCAATCCTCTGCTCTCTTTGTCCCACGCCGACGCCTTCTCTGCACCGTGTCTCTCTTTGTATCTCACGGTCATCATCGCCCCCCCCCCCCCCCCCCGTTCTCTTGAATTGACATCGAGAGAGAGCCGGTCTTTGTTGGTTGCAGCAATAAGGTGTTCAATTGCAAAGGCGAATGCTGCTAAAGAATAAAAAGGGAAACCAGGCCTTAATAACGTGCCATTTATAGTCGCGAAGGAACAATTTCTATGAAGTGCTGAATCGCTCAAGAGGCTTTTTTTTATTATTTTTGCGTTAACCTTTCCGTTCCGTTGGGTTACGCGTTGATTTCATCGGGTTTGAAAGCAATCGAAGCAAAAATGAAGCCAACAACGTTATCTTTTAGAATCCACACTGGAGCTTTTCTTGATTGTAGATTATTTCAATCCAACGGTGTAATGCACAAAAACGAGCAACACTTGTAAAAACAGTGGTAAGAACTTAAGTGGCCAGTCAAACAAAATGGGTACCAAATAAAAACAAAACAAACGTGAAGTGAAGCCAATGTACATCTATAACGTCTATGTTTAAAAGGAAAAAAAAAATCTTGATTCCCCCCCCCCCCCCCACTTGAAATGCTTTTTCTGCACCGATCGGGGGTGGAGGCTCTCTCTAAAAGGTCACATGGCGTGTCTGTGACGTCACGGGCAGAAGTCTGTGGCCGACAGCGACGCGCACGTGAACGCCGGAGATTTCGGATTCAAAGGAAACTTCGCGAAATCTGCACGGGGAAGGTGGTGTGGGTCGCGGGGGGGGGGTGATGGGCGTAGTGAATAATTCCACGTGGACCGAAGGAGAGCTGCGTCGTTCACGTGTGAGGCTTTAAAACGAGTGATAAACTTGAATCGTGTAAAAAACTAAAACAAAATTGGTGCTATTTTGGTTTAAATATGTCACGGGGACTCGCCTTTGGGCTTGTCGCCATTCTTATTTTTTTCGAACGTACGATACAGATCATGCGGTTTATAAATAACCGCAGTCTTCTTTGGCGCAAGTGCGGGCGCCCCTGGCCGTGGTGGGGAACACCGCGGGGGGTGCCGAGTTTATTTTTTGCGCGCGGGGCGAGGGGGGGAAGAGAGTTGTCGTTGGTGCGAGCAGGAAGGAGGACGAGGAGGATGAGGATGGGTTTTCCGAGACCGGGTTTTTTTTTCACGCTCCCAAACGAGTTGTTGTTGTTGATGCTCTCTCGAGGTTTTGGTCATCTCGCCCACGTTGGGCTCGCTGGCGTTGCTTCCAAGTTCGCCGCCGCGTTTTTACATCGAGAAATGTGTCCCTGCACGGGCGATTCGGAGAAACCAACAAAAAAAAACCTCTCAACGAACGCGCTCGCGACGCCGAGTTAATGCAACGCTCGCGACGCAAAACGTGCAAAGTTCCGTTGTCTGGAATTTCACCCCAACATGAAACAAAAAAAGTTCTGGCTGGAGCCGCTCCACCACGGCGTATAACCCGGTGTTGTAAACTGCTGCCCCCCCTCCTACACCACGGTGTACTCGGCGTGCCTCTCACCATCAACCCCCCCCCCTCCTACACCACGATGTTCGCGCGCTCGGCGATTTGTCGCGTTCAAGCAGCCAGGGCGGCCTGGGGCTTCTCGGACTCTCCGGCCCTCTGGTCCACAGAGTGCGGATGGCCGGACTAGAAACTTCCTTTTGCCTCTCGGGCGCAAAGAAGGAAGGGGAGGGGGGGCCGAGAGCGCCGGAGGTTTGCGAGCGACCCCCTCCCCCAGTTTATGAATTTTACCCGGCAGGGGGGGGGGGGCCTCCCCCAGCCCCCCCCAGCCCCCCCCCCCCCCCCCCGTTTGCTCCAACAAAACCAGGCGTGAGAATTTCAAACTTAACTGTTGCGTCTTCTTGGTTCTTTCAGGTAAAGTCACGTAGAAGGGAAGTAGTAAAATAATTAAAATAAAACATAATAAAATAATTCTCACGACGTTTCGGCCACAACGCAAAAGAACCAAGAAGATGAATCCCTGCAGTCACGAAAGCTTTAAATCGAAACTTAACTGTTGCGGTCGGGACGATTATAAGTTGGGGGGTGGGGGGGCCAGGGGGGTGGGGGGCCAGCGGAGTGGGGGGCCAGGGGGGTGGGGGGCAAGTAAGAGTTGGGAAGGGGTTGAGCTGCATCTGGGATGCCGCGGCTGGAAGGAAAAGCGTGCGCAGTGCAATTTGAAAATCTACCGGAGCAGCAGCAGAGGCCTCGACATTTGATCGGAGCAGACACGAGACGTATCATCACCATCGTTTCCCCCCTCTGTGGCTGCGTTCGTTTTACTCTTGAAACGTGTGTGTGCACTATGTATGTGTACGTATGTACATATATGTATGAGTATATATACTGTATACGATATTGCAGTGTATATATGTATACAGTATATATTATTTTTTACTCTATGTAATATGTATATACGGCATCTCGTACGTGTGTGTACGTGTGTACCGCGTAGAAACGTATATAACATCCGTATTGAATTATGCGTGCATCATTCTGCATGCATAATTATACATGGTATGCACATAAATGCAAATGTGCGCGGTCTATACGTACGTGCATATGTATACTGTGTGATATACGATATAAGATTTGTATATACGGTATGTAGATATGCCTATATATACGAAAAGTGAACAACCTTTCACTTGTACATTTTAAGAGAGGCGGGTAAAAATGCACTCCGTGGCGTCGTCCGCGCGCGCTCGCCTTGCGCGACAAAAAACCCGCACAGGTCCTCGCCGGAGACTTCACTCTTAACACGAAGACGACGACGACGCCGCCGCTCGCGAACGTGAAAGCGACGTTCGCTGGTCGCGGTTCGCTAGCCCTTTGCCGCTACCGCCACCAACCACCACCCGCTCGCTCCCGGAGCCGCGGGAGAATATCGCTCCTGTACCCGTGCCGGACTGGGTGAGAGACGTGGCCGAGATCTCGACTCGCGCCCCCCCCCCTCTTACCCACGTCGCGAAAGTGCTTGTTTTGTAAGTGCGACGCCAGGGCTGGGCAACCGCGACTCCCACAGAGATTCGTCGCGCGTCTCCGCTCGTGTCCCCCCCCAACCCCACGTGTTGTTCCAGCCGCAGGTGTGGAAATGTCTCCATGCTCGAGCGAGATTTTTGATTGCATTTGGAGCGGTGGAGATTTCGCATTTCCTACGGCAGGGATGCGTTGGACTATAATTGAGCGGGGGTTTTTTCTGCCAACAGGTCTTCTTCAGGAGGCACAATCAAAATCCGTTATTTTAAATGTGCTTGTTACTTGACGTGTAACTTCACCGAAGCGGCAGCATCTTAACTCGCAAATACAACCGTTTTTTTTACGTTCACCAAATTGATAGTCGTTTTATCGACCGCAAAAAGAATAACGAGCCGCGTATTTTCCCGTCCCAATTGTGAGCCAGACGTTGGATTTTGCTCTGCTACAAAGCCGCTGCGACCAGATTGAGCGATGCCAGTGCCCTGCGTGGCGACCCCCGGTGTGTCGTCCCGGTCGTACCGCGTGGAGAAACGACGCCGCGGCAAACTCGGCGCCAAACGGCACGCGGTACAACCCGACGGCACACGCGGAGGGGGGGAGCCGTGCAGCGCGATTGTGGAACGCTTATTTCACGGTGAGCGTGCGGTTTCCCGCAGGCGAAAACGTGCGCCGCCGATTTTAGACATGTGACCGGTCCGCTCTCCTACAGTCGCTGCGAGCGCGTTCAAATTATCCCGCGGAGTAATTTTTTGTTTGCAAGCGAAGGCCGGTTAAACCATCACCGGAGCGCCTGGAAAAGACCAACACAACGCAATGGTTATCCGCTCCATGACGGAACGTGCACGACCGTCGTCTCAATCATCAGGACGCGACGGTCGTGGCTTTTATCAAGAGCCGCGATAGAGGCCGTGAAAACAGGCGCGGCCTCCTCGCGTGTGGTGGTTGCGCGACGCTGATGCTTCTCAAGTCGCCGCCACCGCAACTCGCCGCTCGTCGCCCTTAACCGACAACAAAATGCGAGGTGGAGAGTGTTTACCTGCTCGGACTGGAGGTGGCCCCAATGACTTGGCCGCGCGCGCGCGTCTTAAAATCGAATCGTGAGCGCGTGGAGAATTGTTGCGAAGGTGCGGTTGTTTTCGCAGGAGGCAGGCGAGGATCGTGATGCGTCCTCCCAGTTTGACGAATTTGCGGGTGAAATGTAAAAATCTGCCAGACGTGGACCGTGACGCCGGCACGCGCGCGTGGCTTGCTCGGTTTTTTCAAATAGCGTCGACGGGATTCCACTTTCACGTTCACCACGAAGTTAATACACGCGCAGTGTTAACTCGGGTGGCCGCCGGGCTCGGACCGCGAGCCGCCACGACGAGCGGCAAAATGCGCCACGACCGCTCGGCCTTGCCACGAGCCCAAGACCCCCAGCATACACGGAGGGAGAGCGAGAGAGAGACGTGTTCTCTCGGCGGTGCGCTCTTTGGGACAACTTCGCCAGGAGACATTTTCGGGAAACTCTTCCAAGGGGCAAGCGGCGTGGTCACGTGATGGACGCCGCCTTGTAACTCTCTCTCTCTCACCCGATTGGCCAGAGAGGTTCAAATGTCGCTTGTAAAATGTTTCTCAAAGTGGCACCCAGGTCTCCCCGGGGCAACGTGTCGCCTCGTGCCTGCAAAACGCGGAGACAAACCAGCACACACGAGAGGAGTTTTTGTCCGACAACATGTTTCCCCGTGTGTGTGTCCAACGTCCGGCGCTCTTTTCCAATCCACTGCTGGATGAAGGCCTGCCACACCGTTTGGGCTTATTTGACCATATGTCCCCACGCTGGTCTGTGTGGGTTGGTGATGGCCGGGGCGGGGGGGAGCATAACTGCAGTTACAACAATGGTCTTTTTGTCTGCACTACCCTCTGCTGCCCACCACACAACCCTGCCAGCAACCCCACGACAACCTGCTATTGCGTGGAGGTCACCCATCCAGGCTGAACCCCTCCCGGTTGATGCGGCCGTCCGTGTACGCTGGGAATTTAAACTGACCGGGCGAGTGGCGAGCGCCGCACGGCGTGGAGAGACGCGCAAGTTTCGGTACGTGCCGGTGACCAGGAAAATATTTCCACATCCGACGCACCACATCCGAGGTTGGTACCTTTTGTGGCCGGTCACGGGCCCACCTCCACCAAGAAAATGTGCGGTGAGACATCGCCCCTGACCCGGGCGGGGAAGAGGTCAAGTTGGGGGGAGGAGTCGTTGCCAGTCCTTGGTGTCGTCGTCGTGGTTTGCACTGCAGCAGCATTGCGTCGTGGCCGCTCGGGTTTGAAGGCCCCGAGCTTCCTCGTCGTCGTCTGCGTCGTGACGTCCGTTCTTTTCTTTCGCCCCCCTCCCCCAGCTCCCCCCCCCCCCACCCACGTCCGTGTGTCCTGCGCATCGCTCCGGCTGTGGATTCGTGACCGAGTGGGGGGGATTGGGGGGCTGTGTCGCCAGGTCGCGGGGTGGCGGAGAGCGCGACAACATTTCCCATCCCACGCGACAAAAC